ACAGAGACGTAACAATATATACGTATATATATATATATTGTTGTTAGGTTGTCATTGTCTGCCCCTCTTTCAATATACCAAACTGTATAATTAAACCATCTTCTGAGAGTTATCATCTTCCACCATGTTTATTTGTTTGTGAGTGTTTGTATGCGTGCTTATCTGGTGAAGTATGTTTGAAAATTTTACAATTTGATTTTATTTATATTAGTGCGTTGAGTTGGTATTGGGAAATTTACCTAAATTGTTGATCATTGGTAATATAAGATTTAACCGTTGTGTTTATTTCTTTCAGGCTTAGCTATCCAATGTTATCTGTGTAATTCAAAGTACCAAGAGGGGTGTGACGAAGTGGCAGATGACACTTACCTCAAGAACTGCAGTGAGTTGAAGGAAGGACCTAAGTACGTCGGTTGCAGAAAGATAGATCAGTGGATTGATTTTGAAATGTTGGGTGGTAAGTAAGTATGTCAGTTATCAAAAGATAGACCAGTGAGTTCACTTTGAAATGTTGTGTGTTAATTCATCAGTTGCAGAAAGACAGGTCTGTAGATTGAATTTGAGATGATGGCTGTAAATATGCTCAGTTATAAAAAAAGTAGATCAATAAGTTTCATTTAAAATAATTAATGGTAAGTATATATATATCTATTTCCCATAAAACACTGAGCCGTAACTATGTAAGAATACAAAAATAACGATCCAAACGTTTGGGTGATAAATTCATTAAGTTTTAAACTATGCCAGTGGATTTTTACCAAAGTTTTGATGGTTTGTTTGCTTATTTGAAGCTAAGCACAAAAGTACACAATGGGCTATTTGTGCTCTGCCCACCACGAGTATCGAAACCCGGATTCTAGCGTTGTAAGTCCACAGACATACCGCTGTGCTACTGGGGAGCTGCATATGCTGGATACAAAGAAAAAATAAATGTTGAAAACAAAGGTTTTTGGTGAAGAAGTGTAGTTTAGGCAGTGTCAAGTGTGTTGGAGGAATATAGATTGACCAATAGATCTTACTCAAACTGTTAAATAACACAGGCCTGCGAATTTGAAGTTTATAAAAATTGTTTCGGTTTTATTATTGGATTTTCCATAATTCAACTACGCAGATTTCTAAAATAATGTTCGTTTTATTCTATCACGTAAGAAGTTTTTTACAAATCGGGAAGAAAAAAAAAACTCTTACTTAGATTAAATTATTATTTCGTTTACCACAATGAATATTTTTTATTATTATGTTTGTTAACAAAAATACAAACTGAAGAAAAGGGAAGAGCATTGA